GGTCATTCTTTTGATCCGCGGACTCTCTCTTCCTGGGGCTAAACAAGGAATACTTTTCTACCTTTTGCCCGAACCCTCACGACTCGCAGACCCTCAGGTAGGAGATGCATGATATGGTAACAGTGCAGAGTTCATGGATACATTTACCCACTGTTACGTTGCTGGAGCAGGTCTGGATGGAGGCTGGGGCTCAGATCTTCTTCTCATACAGCGTGGGGGTTGGCACCTTAACTGTGCTAGGCAGCTACAACAAATACAACAACAACTGCTATAAGTTAGTATTTGTCAATGTGTGACTGAGCTTGATGCTCTGATATCAACTTTTCTGACTGATGAAGAAATTATCAATTTGAATTCATGTGTTTTTGTGTTTTGCAGAGACTGTCTGTTGCTGTGTCTGCTAAACAGTGGAACCAGTATAGTAGCTGGGTTTGCAGTCTTCTCTGTGCTGGGGTTCATGGCTCATGAGCAAGGCGTTCCCATTGCAGAAGTGGCCGAGTCAGGTAAGGCAAGCCAATAGAGATACTAAGAAAATGCAACCTCGTCTTTCTACACCTTGTTGCAGCCTAGGTTGAAGCAACCATTTTGTAACCACATCATTGTCATAGCAGTAGGTGATGCACATCTCCTAAACTCCCAAGAAAGGCTAGCTAGAGCACGACCATGGTGGAAAGTAACATACATATACTATAATCTAATGACAAATTAAGTATCACAATAATGATCAAGTCTCTGTCCCAATGTTTAAAGCAATTGCATTTAGAGTCAACTGTGTGTCTATGGTGACATTCCTGGGAAAATCATGAGCAGCACGCACTGTCTGTATCTCTGAGGAGGGAGGTCTAAAAACACACAGTTACCGCTTATCAATCAACATAGAGCCAATGGATTTAAAGGGTTTATTTGTCATATACACAATAGTAATAGTATTTTTGGCAATATAAAGCTCAAGTATCAGGCTCCTCCAACAAAACGTAAAATAGAGCAATACGTTTGGCCTCAGATGCCACCTAAATGAGCCCTTAATCACTATTCAAATGTTCATTACAAAAAAAATCAAAGAGGAGAGAAATCCAATCACAAACTGCATGAGAATTTAGTTTTAGAATATCAGAAAGTCAATATAAAGTATCTGGGGACATTTCACTGCCGAACGAGTACTTTTACTTTTTTACTTGTCAACTACTATATTGGTAAGAGGAGTTTTCCTGGTAAGGGAGTATTTTTTGAGTACTTTTACTAAATTAAAAGTCCTGAACATGCCTTCCACCTCAAGTCCATAATAAATTAAACATTTGCTGACATCTTCAGGGCAACCATAGACATGACACTAACAATCAGCCCAAAGCCGTTGAGTGTTCATGGCACCTTATACACACATTCATTGTCACTCACTGGGGTAAGGGTCAGGCTCTGAATGAGCTCATGTTGCTCTACTCACATGTCCCTTCTCTTCCCAGCCCAAATATTTACAGTACAAACAAAAAATCTGACTGCGTCAACATCAGTAGCTTATCGCATTTTGTCCGCTGTAGCTTGAAGTAGTCAATGGCTGTACTTCCTTTAAACCCCTTCATGATTCCCTGTTATTTTCCCAGGTCCGTCCATTTAGAGATCAAGGAAGTTGTTTTTTAATGTGTTACTTAAATCATGACTTTTCCACTGCACAGCCACCTGTGTTTATACAACTTTGTAATGGCTCCTTTTTTCTTTTTCTTCATTCCTACATTCCACTCTTCCTCCTCGTTAAAAACACATAAATGATCACGACAATAAAGCAGTCACCTTGGCCTTATCATTTTCAAAGATTATTTTCCACGCAATCTACATTCAGTCTGTACTGAAACACACATGTAAAGAGATTTACTCTGTTGTACTTCTTCTATACCCCTTCCTGATTTCCAGTAACGCCCCCAGTTCCCTCCAGGACGCTGTTATTCATTTGTTACTCGAATAATGAAAATCCACTTGCCATTGGATGCACTTTTGCTTTACAAAGTTATAATGCTGAATCGGTTGAGCAACAAAGGCAGATAATAGCCAGTGACGAGTCTTGTTGTGTTCCAGGTCCCGGCTTGGCGTTCATTGCGTACCCTCAGGCTGTAGCCATGATGCCTCTGCCCCAACTGTGGTCCATCTGTTTCTTTGTCATGCTCCTCCTCCTGGGTCTGGACACACAAGTGAGATGGCCTCTTCATGAACGCTTTGAGGAAGAACACGTTCACATATTGAGATGTACCTATTCTGTCTCGTGTTTTCTCCCTTCAGTTTGTTACAATGGAGGTGGTGATGACGTCCATCATGGACACATGTTTCCCTCAGTGATGCGCAGGGCAGGCCGGCGGGAACGCTTCCTCCTCCTCTTCTGCCTCACATGCTTCTTCTGTCAGCTCGTCATGATCACTGAGGTCAGGGTTTAGTGTTATATACATACATTAAATATTTACCAATCCACTATGGCAGAATATTGCTGCCAAATACGATTTGTATACTATCTTTTCATTTTATTGTCACAAGATGCTTTCATTTGAATGAATACAACATTTATATTTTAGGCTTCCATGCACCTGATTTTGTCATAATAAGTCAAATGAACAAACCTATGTTAAAGGGGACCTATCATGCAAAATGCACTTTTGTACGTCTTTTATACATGAATATGTGTCCCCGGTGTTCCAGGGAACTCACCAAGTGTCAGAAAACACAACCCTCTCTATTTTCCTCCATACCCAAATCTCTAAAAAAGGGGCTGCAACGGATCTGATAAAAACTGATCTAGATTTGAACACTGTCCTGACGTCAGGACGGTGGCGCTACGGCTATTGGGCCAACTCCACCAATCAGGAGGAGACAGCCACGGCCATTGCCGTTCGGAAGCGCTGGAGACGCTGTAGTACATATGCCAGGCCTGTAGATGGTGCTGTTCTCACTGAATCTGCCCTTGCTAAAACAGATCTAAAAAATGTCAAATTGAGCAAAATGAGGCATGGCTAAAATGTATGATCTGTTTGGTATTTTGAAAAAAAAAAAGTATAAATATGCCTTATATAGGTATGGTCCTACACTATATTATTCAAATATAGCATCATAGGTCCACTTTAAGTAAATATCTTTACTGTTGTTTCCAGGGAGGAATGTATGTGTTCCAGATGTTTGACTACTACGCTTGTAATGGCGCCTGCATCCTCTTCCTGTGTGTTTTTGAAACCCTGGCACTGGCATGGGTATTTGGTAGGTATTCTGTTTCAATTGGCACTGCAGGTATTTATGCTTGACCTATACAGTTGGGAAACTCGAGAGATCAAACGAGATCAAATGTAAAGCAGCAGAGGCAGAAACTACAACCTAAATGACATCAAATAATCCACACACATCTAACCTGATCCACTAATCATATCCTCTTAAATCTTCTTCTATAAAGGGGCTGATCGGTTGTATGGCATCATAAAGGACATGACAGGCATGCAAGCCAACCCGTTCTTTAAATTCTGCTGGCTCTACCTCACACCGCTGGTCTCACTGGTGAGTCACTTTCAATGCTGTACATACAGTATGAATAATGTATTTTCACACAGCCTTGGTCTATTCTCTAGTCTAGTGCACAGAGGCTGACGAAGTGCTCAGATCATTACAGTTTAGAAATACTCTTTTTAAACTACAAGTCATGCATTCAAAGTGATCCGTCAGTGGTAAAAAATAAAGAAGTATAAAGAACAAATGATACATTTACTAAAAGAAAGCACCAGTAGATTCAATGGAAATACTGAAGTATAGTAGAAGTACCTCAGAATTGTACTTCAGTCAATAGTTACTGTCCAACAGTGCATGTACACCTGAATATGTCCCAGCATGTTATTGTAGCCTTTGTTTTTTTTTCTCTCCTTTTTTCTCAGGGCACTTTCATTTTTTCTCTAGTGGAGTACCAGCCTCTGACCTTTAACCGCTGGTACGTGTACCCTACCTGGGCCAACGTGCTGGGCTGGGTCCTCGCCCTCTCCTCCATCCTGCTCGTGCCGGGGTGGGCGCTGTTTAAACTAGCAACGGGGACTGGGAGCCTCAGTCAGGTGGGAAAACTGTATAAATGATAACAATTCAAGAATAATCACTATGTCTTATATTGGATATATTCATTATGGGCCAATTACAAGCAAAATAACCGATAACTCACGTCTCGGATCTCATTTATTAAATAGGTTTCAGTTTCAGGATTATTGTGTTTTTCATTATTATGATTAATTTAGAGTAAAGGCCTTTTAGAAGTGTGACATGTTGAGGTCTATAAATCAAAGTATAATCCCGATTTATATAACAATATAGATAGAATTTTAAAAGTCTCAAAGTATTTCTGACTTTTTCTCCCATTTTCTTAGCGTTTCCATCATTTGTGCCAACCTGATCCTGACTTCACCGTGAACCAGAAGAGAGAAACTGAGTTGCAGCCCAGCAAAGGGGAAGACCTGCAACAGATCACTACTACGTTTATACCAAACACAGAATCACCCTGAACTCTTCTTCAACTGCATTTAAGTGTCCTCAAACTAAGATTGGGTACAGAGCGGCTGGGCTTTAGTCTAAAATCCTGGTTGTTGAAAGGTTATCAAAGTGTTGTTGAATGGTTATCAAAGTGTTTATAAATGGTTGTCAAAGCAGTGCTGTAAGGGTGTAATTCCGAATGAAACATAACAGACACTGTTTTTCACATACATAAAATATGTGTTAATGAGATACTTATTAAACAAACTGTTTATAAACATGAACAAATACAATTTCTAAAGATACACTTTGCCGAAAAAATGATAATTACGTAAGTTCATCACAATCAACTTCCCTTCCGATTTTAATACGAACTAAAATCACGCATACTCTATCAGCATGTCCTAAATAACTGGCAGTTTTATGTGCAAAAAGCGTTTTTTTCAAGAGGTCCTCGTATAAATATTTTAAAGACATCGACGGACACACTCTTTACTTTCTCAACAGTATCCATGACAACACACTGATTTTGTGTCATAACAAAAGCATCCTTTATTTCAAAATGATTAATCACAGTGAACGGAAAGTTTTCTCTGTAACCATGGAGCTCAATGGAAACTATTTTCAAGGTGTTCAGGAGACAGTGAAGCACATGCGTGTCTCTAACATACGCGTCACAACCCGGGAGAATCTTTCATTTCCATGGAAGAAGTTACATGAACTAATGGAGACCCATATTACCATAGTCGGCTGAATTAGAGAAGAATCATTGATACACTGACAAAGTCTATTCTTCATATTTCTTTATTTAAATACCTTAAAATTGTGAAAAACACACTGTAAAAACCACTTGAGAAATATGTGCATTGATTGCAGTGATGTCTGTCATATGCAGAAGCACACAGAGAAAGATCATTGACATAACACATGATTGTAGCCACTTAGGCAACACCGTGTTATACTTTAACACAGTCAAACTCTCAACTGTGGCCCATCTGAGGAAAAGAAAATATCATCAGAGTGAAAACGGAAAATAAAGCATCTGCATGAGGGAAAACGGCGTTGATTGATTAGATTCTGTTGATGAATCTCTTCCAATATTATAAGATATGTGTTGTATTTGTAAAATAAAATATGATATCATAACCTGGGATCATGGTGTGTCTTGGTAATGCAAAACAGATAAAAGGAAGTCGGTTTTTTTAAGGCTTTGTTGACAAACATTTAGATATAAGTCCTTGCAGCATGGATGATGTAATGTTGAGGAAGGTTTTCTCTGCAGCATTGAGCATTCAGTTGTGCCTCCAGGGCAATTTTTTCGGCAGCTTTTATCTTGTGTTGTTTCAAGGGCACCAATCTTGTCACATGTTTGGACTGCTACCTCTCCTTCAGCATGTTAAAAGAAAACATTTTCTACCAGAAGATGGATACCTTTATCCTTTCTCTGTATTAAGTTTCTATGGTGTGACAGTGACACAACCAACTAAACTGTTTATGTTGTATTGCCTGTGTCTAAGCCAAATTCCTCAGCCTCCAGGGGAAATACATTTTATTTTTCTGATAATCCTTTAAGTGTCTCACAAGCAGAGATCATCCAAACATCAGTGTGGGTGTATAAAGTCAGTGATTATATAAAGTGGTACCTCGGGTTGCACTTGAGTGAATTAAAAAGGGATAGGATGTCAAACACTTATTTCTGTTGAAGCACGTTCTGCAACAAAACCTGTACTTCGACATGTAGTACGAACCTTGAATCATTGTTGGATTCCCATTGACCTGCAGAGATATCTTGTGCAATTAAAACTATATTTACATAACCAGGGATTAACCATTCAAATGACACATAATATCCAAAAATAGCCCTGAGTACTCCCTCTTCCTTTAAAGGCACGGCGGATTTCTAACCGGTAGAACTGTCAGGAGGTGTAAAGGTGACATTTTCCGATAGACAATTTCTATCACCCTCGATCTCCCTGCCTTTTTCTGAGTTTGGGTCTGGTACAGTAGAGTGAAGGCGAGATGAGCCCTCAGCAGCGTAGGAGTATCCTGTGGAGAAACTCACTGGTTGACTGGAATCTATATGATACGGGATTTGTACATTTTGCAGGGTTTTAAGGTTAGGGTAGCTCCCGGACTCGGCCATGTCTCGATGCAGATGTTCCCATGTGTTGCTCAGGCTGTGGGGGGGGTCGCTGGCCGCCCGGCACAGTAACTCCGTGTGCTGGCGGAGCTGGGCAATGTTCTGCTCCGTGGCGTTGCTCTGGCGAAGCAGCTCCTTGGTGCGCAGTGTAATGTCCAGCAGACCTGACTGTCGGAGGATTTGTACCGTGTTGAGGAACCTGTGGTGGCGGGTACTGATGGTGCTGTTTTGGTGAGGTCCTCTGGATGTGAGGTTGGAAGACGTATGGTGCAAAGTGGACCCAGATGGGGCGCCTTGGCTTGAGGAGACAGTAGTTGGACTGGAGGAGGATGCACTGGTTGAAGAGGGACATGGCAGCCCATGGGTTAGGACTGCCTCTTTGGGTTGCTCATGAATATGCTGCTCAGGAAGACTCCTGATCAACGTTTTTTCCTCATTCATGTGATTTGTGCACACCCTGTTACTCAGATTCTGTGATTCATCATTAGATACAGATTTATCAGGCGGTGTCTTGCTGGGGTGTGGGGCAATGCGGGGGTAGGAGTTGAGAATGGGGAGGTAAGTGTCATTTATTTTCTTCCCTGTGATGTGGGACTTCCGGGACAAAGGCTTGTGGAGCTCGCGGGAGGCCGGCAATAATCTAGGATGCTGGGAATGGATCATATGGGCGGAACCAGAACATCCTGTTCCCCGGCTTCCATTTCTCCGGGACAGCTGGACTTTTTTTTGTATCATGTCCGGCTGGTGGGACAAGGAAAAACAATGCGAGACATACATTAAACACTATATTGAAGGTAGAGGGGTATGTCTACATTATGTTTATTCCGAAGTTACAATTTCAGTTTCCAGAAATGCTATTTGCAAAGGCCTTTGCCGTTTTGAGCATGTGTCCAATCAGACTGTGCCTATTGCTTGGCCCCTGTAAGCGCTGTTTTAGAAAATTGCTTTTGCGCAATTACTCCAAGGAAGTGAAGAAGAATTTGGATGTAACTCTAGTATATCCGGTATCTTGCTGCAATGAGCTGCAGTCTTTTAATATAAATATTGAATGTATCGCATTTCTACATTTGACATTGCACTTCATTGGTTCCCTTAGCAATACACTCGCCAAGTGTAAGGTAGAGGGCACTCAAGAGATATCTTGCTTTAAGCCCCTGACACATCAACCCGATTTTGGGAGTCAGAGGCCGTCAATCGGCCTACTCAGGTTGGTGTGTCGCGCACCGTCGTCTCTTTACGGCACATTTTCACACCTCCCGCGGCCGATTCAACATGCTGAATCGGCCAAAGAAAGTCGGCCAAAGAAATCACTCTGATTGGCTGTTCAGCTTAGCGAAGCAGTGCATGAGAAGCGAAGCGGAAGTGAGGGACCAAAACAAACGATTAAGAAGGCACACACAGACGGCTAATCTTTTTCATTTTCATCTCACCCGGACGCAAGAGTTTCTTTTTTATGTTTACATGTTTTCGATCGACGAGAGAGAGTGAAAATGGAACCCAGACGCTATTTGTTGTTTGTTTATATCACGCAGTCTGTTCTTCTTCTCTCTGTGTACAGTCTGTCTTCCGGTTGTTGCCTCTTTTGAATGACGAATACACACTACCGCTGCTTGCTGGTAAGGACAGTTATTGCCACTCGTCGACTGAAGTCTTTGCGGTGTGTTCGTAGGCGGGCGGCGTAGGCGGGCGGCGTAGGCGGGCGGCGTAGGCGGGCGGCGTAGGCGGGCGGCGTAGGCAGGCGGCGTAGCCGACGTAAAAGTCGGGACGCCTTCGGTACGCGTTCTTTGGTCTCAGGTTGGTGTGTAGCGGCCTTAAGATCAAATTGTAAGATAGGGGGATTATAAATCTTCCCTTGTATCTACTTTTTCTTTGGCATATGCATAATGAATACAGCCTCCATGTCCCCTTTCAGAAAAGTGAAAAAGTCACTATGGCAGATATGAAACACTTTTACAGTGAGTCGCTCTGACATTTAGCAGTTTGAATTTGCAACATTATTTTAAACATTTTCTCGTTGCACAGCCTTCACACATTCCATCCTTCAGGTCTGTCTACCCTCCCTGTGTGTGCCTACACTTCTCTTACCTTTTTCAGCACCATGTTATTGATGATGTAGATGGGTTGGAGCTCGCGGCCTGCTGTTTTCAGTGTAGGATTCCCAGGATTCCCTTGCTGGAGGTCTTTGGTTTGACCTGTCTGTGAAGTGGCGGCCTGCTCACTGCCTTTGCTCTGGCTTTGATTGCTACGCTGGTCCTCCACATCTGTCTGCTGCCAGTCTGAGCCATCTGTAGAAGAGATGGAACAAGAAATATATGCTGATTTATGAAGAATAAAAACATGTTCTAAGAGATAGTTAAACATTTGTTGGTTGTTGGATTTTTTTAATTAAAATATATTCAACATATGCTTTTAGTTAACAAACAGGGGAGAGAATAGGGGCGTACATGCTTCGTTTATATATTATTTTTTTCTTCGCTCCTTACGCTAATCAAAGGACAATACATCATGATAGTGATTACATATTCTCCACTTCCTCAAACACCATTTTGGTTAGCTCGCCTTTTAAGTGGATACCGGGGGGGCTTGTCACAACTGAAGAGACGTTTTCAATGGCTTGTGGAGGAGTGGGCGTGTTTGTGTTGTATGACAGGAGGGGTGTGTGTGAGGTGTGGCAGGAGTCGCTTCACAACAACAAGGATTATTACGTAAGAGCTTTAGTAAAGTGAGACACCTGAACTCACCATTTAATAAAAACAATGACTTAATTTAAGTATATTCTAACTTTCTTCAATTCATTTATGTCTCCTCAAATGTACAGAATTACAATAGAAATTACTTAAATTCCTGCACACTTCCTCTGATGTGGATGTCCTCACCAGCACATTTGCCTTCTAGTCATGGTTACATTTTAAATCCAAGAACATTTCCTACACATTCATCGTGTATTTTAATGTTTTTGACCCATTCAACTTCTCAGCACTACCTAATCTGACTTGTTAAAATGCATGGCAGTGTTATAAGAAATAGACTATGATACTCTGCAAATTGTTTTGCTCTGGTCAAATGTTCACCACATTTACTCACCAGAGTAGCCGGAGTCTTTCTCAGAGCTGCAGCGGGAGCCCGTTCCACTGGAGTCGTCTACGTCTTTAGTTTCACGCATTGCCATCAGAGTCAAACTGTTGCTCTTATTTTTAGCATTCTTGCTGGATGAGGCAGAAGGATTGTGCTCGCTCAAGCAAGGCGCTTCCTTCGGCATACTGGACCCTAATGAGAGAATACAGGATATTTATTACGTGGCTCAAAGCTAAAGAAATATATTTTCCTCTCATGAGACAGAGCTCTGTGGTGGACTGGTGACGTGCCCAGGTTGTTCACTGCTTGTCACCTACTGCATTGCATAGTGGGCATCAAATTAACATTTCCATTGGCTATTAATTATTTAAGTGAGACATTGTTGCTGTCTTTTTTCACTTTATTTGCATCACAGTTTCTTACAATAAGAGTGTGCTGTTCATAAATAGCTTATCACTTGGGTTCACTCTTAATGTGTTTGTGCAGTCAATTGCACAACAGCTTTTTACCTTGTCAACTTTTATCCCCTCATGAATCTGAAGGTGCCTGTGTGGATTCATGAGGGGATAATAGGTGCCTTTGGGTGGTGTAACTGAGACAACTAATCACAGAAACACAATATGTGTAGTACTCAAGGTAATAGCTTATAATTTAAAAGTGACAAGTAACTGGAGACTGTGGGAAGTTCATGAAACATTTGAGGAAAAACCATAACACAAACGAACCCTTATGAATAACCACCTCCCCCCCCCTCCCTGTTTTCATGCTTGTGTGTACATGTGTCCCCAGGTGTATTTACATGGAGCCAATGGAATGCAAGGGTCATGTGTTGTTTCCGAGTCAACAGAGAAAAGAGCCTGTAACGTTTAGTGAAAAAAGTGCATTAGTTGACAAAATACAAGGCAGAGACCTAGAGCACAGTAAATTCATGCTTTCATATGAATGCATGAGCTCGTTCAGGCTGGGGTTGAACTTTAACGTAACCATTTCTTCTCTCACGCATTTGTATGACGTCTGTCAATCTCAAAGGCTCAGCAACCAAAATGAAATCCATATGTGTATTTACATGCATCTCTGCTTATGGCCTTAATAAAAGCCCTGAGAATAGAAACAAAATCATATCTGAGGAGGGGCTTCAAAATAAACCAACACATTTAAAAGATAACCAGTTTTAACTGATTTGTTGATCACTATTAATTTGGGTTTATGAGTTTTAAAGAACATGACTTAATACTCCCATCCACACATGGTTCAAGCCAAATAAATCACTTTTTGTGTCTTCCTGTGTCCTCTATATGAGTTGGATATCATCATGTATTTGATGGTGCACATTTAAATTACAGAAGCACAAGTCAGTTAGGGAAATGATCAGATAGAACACAGGTCTTATTGGCCCTGAATGACACCAGATACTTTTATGTGCTTTCCTTTGTCTGTAAGGATACAATAATCAACAATGCAGCCACTAAATGTTACATTGTAGGTCTGCTATCAAATCAACACTGCAGCAACAACATGTACAGTAAAGCTCTGCATGAGGCATTTTCATAAGACATTTCCGCGGTACAAGACTTTTTCTCCTGGTCATTTTACAGTCACCAGTGCTTCTCGTATTTTCGGACGCAGTGAAGGCAACACTGAGCTGAAACAGCGCCCCCCCCCCTCCTCCTTCCTCTACATTCCCCCTATTATGTAACACCACAGACTATGTAACACCGAACTTCGTGTCAAATCCTCTCTTAAATACACTTCCTCTCACACTGAACGCAAAAACACAATAAATAAAGAGGTTGCTCGGAATAAAGCGGCATTAAAGGGCCGAGTGCAAAACAAAACAAAAAGTTATGAGTCGGAGCTCGGATAGGGAGAGATAAGTCCTTTCAAAGCATGCTTTACATGTTCTGTCTGCAGTGGGAAACTTACCTTCAAATGTAAAATATTAAATCATTTCCACATTTGGTCGCTTTCCCCGCTGACTGGGTACCGAGCAGCGCTAACCTGCACTGACATGTTTCAAATGTTATGCAAGAGTTACAGTAGAAACGATTCAGTTTCCGCTCTTTGTCAAACATGCTGAGATAACACTTACAGTGATAGGGGCTAAGGATAGATATCCGTCAAGTTAGTCAGAACACAAGGCACATTAAATACTTAGCTTTTAAAATAAAATGCATATCCCCTTTTTTTCTGAATGAATTGCACTCATTAGGAAGAAAATTCGAATACGTTTCAATGTTCTGCATAATTCATACCATGAAATAAAATCCTCAGTCTGTAGCCCTACATACCTGCACGTTTATCCAAAAAGTGTCCGCTTTTGTTTTGAAATCCTGCAGGCTAATTCTAGCTGGCTTGACAATGTCGTTTGCCACGAAATGTTAAATAAGGAGTACAGAAAATAGGTATATCGAAATGTAATGTTATTCGACCTTGTATGCGGCCACAAGACAGTTACAAAGTTCCCCGCCGATGACACAATAAAACACGGGGGGGTGATTGTGTTTCAAGTTACCTCAGAAACCCACAGTCTGATGGACCTCCTACCAGACACAATACAAATGATCGCCCTGCTAGCTTAACGCCCATTGGTCGATGAGACAACTGCTTAAGCCAATCACAGTTCAGGGTACATGCAGCAGCGAGCAAGTGTGCAATAAAAGAAACTCCCATAAAAACCTTATAATTATAGTGGAATTTAAACTTAAAAATTAATTACTTAAATACATCGGAACTAATAAATATAAATAAATCAGAATGAATAAATAAAATAACATGTTGAAAGAAATACATAAATACAGGAACCACTACAATACATAGAGGTTGACAAATGTATACGAAATACATGCATAAATAAATGTTGAGATTAAAACATAAAAAAAACATATCTTTGATGTATTCCTAAATGTTGGTTTACTTGCATTTATGCTTAGGTCATGTTCAGTCCTGCATATATATTTGGGCTAAAGCTAAAATATATTAGATTATGGGCCCAGGTAGTTTCAGTTAAAGTCACTTCAATTTGAATTGCAGTCTCGAGCTGTATTCCAAAAGGCAGCTAACCATTGACCACGTGCCTCTGCCAACAAGTCTATTGGCGTTTGCTGGAATGAGCCTGCACCCACATTACAGCACTAAGCTCATTTGATGAGGTAGGCACAGCAGGGCACAATAGAGCAGTCAGGAAAATCAGTTAACATTATGGTGGGTTTGCAATACGTGCATTGGTTTCTTGACAATTATTACAACGACATACTCACGCTGTACCAGAGGCATAGCATTCTTGACATATCGACTCCTTTAAGCCAGTCAGCTGTGTGGGCATTATTGCACATGAGCAGGAATGGCCAATGTGAACAATACCGCCATGCAGCCAGAAGGGGGCTCTGCTGTCATGTAGAAATCGCATACATTTGTGCAAAAACAAAACAGCTGAAACTCAAAACAGTTGCAGCGGACACTTTATTTTTACATTAAAACGTTCAAAAATAACATGATAGACAGCCCACAAGACAAGTACACATCAATACAATTCAAACATTTTTCTAAATTGGCTGCAAGATAAGATCATAAAACAGGTGTCACATACATACTAAAGTGCATACAATCTTTGGTCAAACAATGTTCTTTTTAAATCTTTCAAACTTCTTCCTCATCCTTTCCCATGGCAACTCTTCGGGATCCACAGCAAATAGTTGCGAGCCATGCTCAGATTTTTGGAGCACACTAGACAAGTGATACTGGTCTAGGATCAAAGTTACGGAGTCAAAAATGTCAGGTGCATACACCCAGCAGAGCAGCAATGTTTTTAAGGCCAGGGTGTACGCTGACATACATGGTTTCTGGGGAGGAGAATTTAATAAAAGTAGCGCAGGTCTCTCGAGTGTGGGCCTTGGCTGCGGCACCGGCCAGAGTGTGCATGATCCTCAGCACGGCCGTCTCACTGAGAAAAAACAAAAGAATAGATTTAAATATTGACAGATAGGATGGATGCTGACTTATACACAACATGTGGACGAAATGTTTTGCATCTGTGAAGTTAGGAACATGGAGAAGCCAGGGATCCGTTACTTAAAAGCTGAAGATGCCCGGGGGAAAGGCTCTCTTAGGGCACTGTGGATGAGATAAATGCATCTTATCAGTCAAAAACACACACCTGCCGACATGCACACTGGAGGCCAGACACCAAGCAGCCTCTCCTTCTGGTGTCGGGGGTTCCTGCAGAATTTGCCGGGACAAGCAGAGGACAGATCCTGCCAACTGCAAGGGCAGAAACACCACACACTGGCCCTCTAGGAGAGACAGCTCCAGAAGATAGCGAGCCATCCACACCACCTGGTGGCACAGACAACACTTCTGTTCAGATCTCGACTTAATAGGAAATACATTGACAGAAAAGAGGACCAGGAGGGACCTACCTTAGCACTGCAGCGAGCAATGGAGGCGAGGAGGAGGAGGAAATGTAGAGGGGGACAGTAGGACAAATCAAACTTGAGCACTAAGAGGACTTTGCGTTCCATTCGCAGCAGCTGAGGCTTCGTGTAGGTGTGGTCCATCAAGTAGCAGAGTCCTGATACCTGGAAAAAAGGGGGAAATGTTTCACATTCATTTAAGGTAAAACAAGAATGACTAAAGTGATTAGGGAATTAGAGAAACTGTTGTCGATTACCTTTAAAAAACAGTTTGATTAATATCTCAATTGTCCCTCTTCGCGCATTAAAGGTCCCATGACCATTCTACTGATCATAATTCCATTGTTCAGAATCAGAAACGGGTTTATTGCCAGGCAGGTTCTCACATACAAGGAATTTGACTTGATGTCATGGTGCATACATAAAATATAAAACAAACTCTCCATATAAAACAACCAATCTAAAATAAAACAAAAAATCTTTAAGGACACTAATAAAATATAGTTGGATAGCAATAAAATAAAGCAGTAATTTACAGCGAAATAGAATGCAGTGAATTATAAAATAAGAAATATGTGCAGTAAGCAGTATGAACATTGTGTGCATTAATGTAATGCATATAGAGTCTACGTTGTGGCTGAGGTAAGTGTCAGTGGGGGGGCCGGGCCGGTAGCGGAGGGGAAGAAACTGTTCAGGTGGCGAGAGGTTTTGGTCCTGATGGAGAGAGGTTTTGGTCCTGATGGAGCGCAGCCTCCTGCCAGAGGGGAGGGGGGTG